TTTCAGTTTATCAACTGAATTGCTTGAGGACAAGCAAAGGTTTAATCTTGGGGGAGTTGATACGTCTCCAACGTATCTAATTTTCCTAATGCTTTTCCTCTTGTTTTGGACTCTAATTTGCATGATTTGAATGAAACTAACCCCGGACTGACATTGTTTACAGCAGAACTGCCATGGTGTTGTTTTTGTGCAGAAATAAAAGTTCTCGTAATGAAACAAAACTTTGTGAGGAATTTTTATGTAATATATAAGAATTTCTGGAACCAAGACCTATCGAAGGGGGGCACCTGGATGGGCACAACCCACCAGGGCGCGCCCCCCTCACCAGGCGCGCCCAGGTGGGTTGTCCCCACCTGGTGGCCCCGCAGACCCTAAAACCGATGCTATAAAATCCTATTTTCTAAAAAAATCAAGGAGAAAGAATTATCATGATCCACGAGATGGAGCCGCCGTCACCTCCTGTTCTTCATAGGGAAGCCAGATCTGAAGTCTATTTGGGGCTCTGGAGAGGGGGATCTTCGTTCTTCGTCATCACCAACCCATCTCCATCGCCAATTCCATGATGCTCCCCACCGGGAGTGAGTAATTCCTTCAGAGGCTCACTGGTCGGTGAGGAGTTGGATGAGATTCATCATGTAATCGAGTTAGTTTTGTTAGGGCTTGATCCCTAGTATCCACTATGTTCTAAGATTAATGTTGCTATGACTTTGCCATGCTTAATGCTTGTCACTTTGGGCCCGGGTGCCATGATTTCAGACCTGAACCGTTTATGTTATCACCATAATATCCATGTTCTAGATCCGATCTTGCAAGTTATAGTCACCTACTACGTGTTATGATCCGGCAACCCCGGAGTGACAATAATCGGGACCACTCCCGGTGATGACCGTAGTTTGAGAAGTTCATGTATTCACTATGTGTTAATGCTTTGTTTCGGTTCTCTATTAAAAGGAGGCCTTAGTATCCCTTAGTTTCCAATATGGACCCGCTGCCACGGGAGGGTGGGACAAAAGATGGCATGCAAGTTCTTTGCATAAGCACGTATGAATATTTACGGAATACATGCCTACATTAAATTGATGAACTGGAGCTAGTGTTGTATTGCCCTAGGTTATAGCTGTCTCATGATGAATATCATCCAACAAGTCACCAATCCAATGCCTACGAATTTATCCTATATTGTTCTTGTGAAGTTACTACTGCTATCATCACTGTTACACTTGCTACAAAACTACTACTATCACTGTTACTGTTACTATTGCTAGTGCTACTACTATCAAAACTATCATATTATTGTGCTACTTATCACTTTGCTACAGATATTTAATCTCCAGGTGTGTTTGAATTGACAACTCAGCTGCTAATACCTTCAAATATTCTTTGGCCCCCTTGTGTCGAATCTATAAATTTAGGTTGAATACTCTACCCTCAAAAACTATTGCGACCCCCTATACTTGTGGGTTATCAGGGTCCATCGTTCCATCATATTGCTCGATGTTTATGGGTTTAAACCATTCCGGAAACTGGTGCTGCATTACCTCATCGGTAAAGCACATAGGGTGTGCGGCGTCTCTGTATTGGGTGACATCGCGATAGAGTTCGGATGACATCTGTGTTCGGGGCTGACCCCGAATTTGGTTATCTCTGTCATGCCAGGCCTGATGGCCGTCATCCCATGTTGGAGCACGTCCTCTTGATCCATAGATTGGTCTTGTCTGGTCGGCTCTATTGTCCAGGTCCTGACATAAGTCGTATGTGTAGCCCGGAGCCGTTGTCTCCTTGCCTCTATGACGAGGTGGCGCGGGCTGGTGTTTGGCATAATTAGCCGCTTTGTCCCGTCCATGTGGCGGTCGGTCCTGTTGGTCAGCCTAACTGTATTTTGATGGTATTGGCTCAAGGGCCTCATCGTCAAATTGTGGCAGTAGCCTGCGTTTTTGGTAACTCTTTGTTAGGCGCTCGAGGCCGTATTCTTCGGCAGCCAGGACGTTGGTCCATCTGTCGTTGAGTGTCTCCTGTCCGGCTTGAAGCTGCTGCTGTTTCTTTTTCAGGCTTCATGTGGTGGCGATAAACTGTTTCTTGAAGCGTTCTTGTTCGAGGGGTTCTTCTGGGACGATGAAATCTTTGTTGGCGAGGCTGACATCCTCTTCAGAGGTAGGTAAGTAGTTACTTTCTTTCGAATCCTCGTGATCGGCGTGTTCGGGGCTGTATTGACCTTCTTCCCTTTCATCCTGCTCAAACACGGGCTCAACGGGGTGATCGGGATCTTCGGCGTTGTCTGGAGTGTTATTATCTCCGGTGTCCGTATTGCTTTCGCTTGCGTGACGCGATCGTGACCGGTGCCGCTGATACTGGCACTTTGGTGGTTCATCGACAGGCTTATCCTCATCTGGGTTTTGAGTGCCATCGTCATCCTTCTTCTCAGGTGTGTCCACCATGTATATGTCGTAAGTAGAAGTGGCCATCCAACGCCCGGTGACGAGCGGGTTTTGGCCTGGTTCGGCCTCGACATTGTCGTCCAAGCCATCGATGTCTTCTGAGGTGTAGTCTAGCATGTCGGTTAAGTCTTCGACAGTGGCTATTAAGTGGGTGGTGGGTGGGACGTAAAATTCCCTACCCTCAGCCCCCAGCTCAAGCTGGGCGTATTTCGGAGGCGATACTTCCACGATGGCGAGAGATCGCATTAGGTCCAGCATTTCGTTTAAGAGCCAAAGCTGGACAGACGCATGAGGATCTGCAGAGCTAGGTTTGGTAATAACCACTTGACCGAGCCCATTAGATGCAGGTCTCGGGAGATCGGAGTTGACGTCCAGAACGAATCCAGCTTCCCGATGACGGGGAGAACCCCGTTTGAGTCCGGGTCCGCCGACGGCATGATTGCATCTGGGTCTTCGGCTGAAAGCTCCTTGACGGGAGAGAGTCCGGCGCGGTTCACCTTCCCGTCTTCGGACAGGGTGGTCTGCCCCGGATCTAAGGCCAGGGCAGGCGTGAGAGTCGACCACTGAACGGGATTTGATGACGGATCCGAAGGGCCTTCTTCGTATGGGTGTGGAGTGGCGGTCGAGGCCGTGAGTCCCTCGAAGATCAGATCTCCTCGAATGTCAGTGATGTAGCTCAGGCTTCCAAACCTGGTCTGGTGACTAGGGGCATAGCTGTCGACCTGCTCAAGGCGGCCGGTCAAGTTGGCACGTAGCGTGAAGCCGCCAAACACAAAGAGTTGGCCAGGAAGAAAGGTCTCCCCGAAAACAGCATCGTCGTCGATGACGAGGCAAGCCATCGATTCTTCCGTTGACAACACAACGAAACTCTCAATGAAAGCACCAATATCAGTGTCAAAACCGACAGATCTCGGGTGGGGGGTCCCGAACTGTGTGTGTGAGGATCAATGGTAACAAGGGACGATGGGGACAATGTTTACCCAGGTTCGGGCCCTCTTAAAGGAGGTAAAACCCTACGTCTTGCTTGATTTTATTCAATGAGTACAGGGGTCACAAGACTTGATCTACCTCGAGATCGTAATGGTTAAACCCTAACTGTCTAGCCTATTAATATTCTGATAGCCTCTACATACTAAACCCTCCGGTTTATATATACACCGGAGAGACCTAGGGTTGTACAGAGTCGGTTTGTAGAGGAAGGAAACAACAGATCCGGACACAAAACTTGCCATCCACGCATATAGGAGTCCTACCCGGATACGGGGGACAGTCTTCTGCTTTATCCTTTCGGCCCATCAGTCCGGCCCATATGGAGCGCCAGCGCCGTGCTCTGAAGGAGATCGCCGCATGGCGCCGCCGCCGCGACGAGGGTGGTGTCATCGTCCTCGACGACAACGACGAGGAGGCGTCAACGCCGACCAACCTCGTCCACAACGGCAATCCAGGGTAGGGGTGCAGCAAGGACGGCGACGTGCAGGACGACGGCGATGACGACAACGACAGCGACGACGGCATGGACTACACCGCCTTCTACCAGCTCCTCGGCATGAAGTAGGCTCGGGCCGGCGGCGTAGTTTTTTTAGGGTTTCTTATGTGTGTCTTTAAATTTGTACAAATATGAATGAAATCGCCTAAATTTCGTCCAATATCAAGTTATTTTGGGACTACACCGCCTTCTACCAGCTCCTCGGCATGAAGTAGGCTCGGGGCGGCGGTTTAATTTTTTTAGGTTTTCTTATGTATGTCTTTAAATTTGTACAAATATGAATGAAACCGCCTAAATTTCGTCCAAAATCAAGTTATTTTGGGACTACACCGCCTTCTACCAGCTCCTTGGCATGAAGTAGGCTCGGGGTGGCAACGTAGTTTTTTTAGATTTTCTTGTGTATGTCTTTAAATTTGTACAAATATGAATGAAACAGCCTAAATTTCGTTCAAAATCAAGTTATTTTGTTCACATTTGGGCCCAATTTAAATTTGAAAAATGGCGTCTGGGGGTCAACTTGGGCGGCGGTTGAAAACCCGACCATCCCACGACGAAGATAGCGTCGGTTAGCCCCCAGCCGACGCTATTCCCATGACGAAGATAGCGTCAGTTAGCTCCCAGACGGCGCTATTTCGGTCCTTTAAGGGGCAAACGGTTGAAGATGCCCTTAGTCCGTTAAAAAGCCCTCCACAAGTCTAGCAGTTTTGTTTGCGCACTCCACTAGCTCCTGGCCGTGCGAGGAGTGAGCTTTTCCATGCCGGCCGGCATTGGGTCTCTGATGTGTTGCACGCATTGTGTCATTGTGATCACAGGCTTCCGGAGCAGATTGAAACGCACAGTCATTATATAGTACTCCCTCCCTCCATCTCAAAATAAATGACTCAACTTTATTTTGTACTAAAGTTAAGTCACTTATTTTTGGGACGGAATGGAGGGAGTAACAGGCGAATCAACACTTGCACCTCGATCTAGCTTCTGTCCAGTTGGTCACCCATAGCATAGCCATTACACAGATCAGTCACGAAAACTACCGGAGCTTAACAAGCAAGCACACACGCTAGAAGCAAGGAGGCTGAGGGTCAGAGCAGCCTGGGGCTGGTGTAGGGGCCGTGGAGGATGCTGTCGGCGATGGCGTGGTAGGCGGCCTCCGTCAGGTGGACGCCGTCCCAGTTGGCGTACGCCGACGGGTCGGCGCACACGCTGGACCCCCGCACGCCGCAGCTCGCCTTGGGGTTGAAGTTGTACGGCCCCCCGCCGCCGCAGCACGTCTTCAGCGGCCCCTGCTTGAACCCTGCAACCCCCACACAACCTCACAAGTTAGTAGCATTCAGCAACGCCACCACTAATTAGCAAGGTGACACTTCACCTGCCAGTGCCAACCCATAAACCACCTCATCAACATACTCTTGATGGAACTTATATACTTGGTGATGCTTAGTGCATGCCAATAAAACAGAAAAATGTGCTTATTATGTACTTAACTGGACCATGTCTTTTCAGTCTAGGAGCAACAAGTCCTTTTATGCTCCAACACGGCTCGCCTTTCCCCAAAGGCCAGCCAATAGGAACATTCAGATCCCCAAAAATCTTTTCAATCTTTTGCAGCATCTTCCTGGCCCCTATTTCAGCCGGCATCAATACTGTGCCGGTGTACGTGCCCCATACTGATGATGGCACACCGTGACCGTGGCGGGCCATCGCTCGGACATGGTTACCTCTAAGTGTAGCTGTCATTCTTGAATGATTCGCATCATGGTGCTTCATTCATCACGTACAGTAGAAAACTCCAACGCATCCCTGTCCGTTCAGCTCGGATGCTATCCTAGTCCTAGACTAGATATCGCCGCCGGTCGATCGATCGGCGTGTGCTCGCTCCTATGAACGGAAAAAATGGCAGCGGTTGCAAAGCTAAGTTTATAAACTCACCGAACTGCTTGGGGTTCTTGGCGAAGGACATGGCCGCGCCGTAGTAGTCGGCGTACATGATCCGAGCCTTGGGGTACTTGAGCCGGAGCACCTGCAGCTTCTGCTGGACCATGGCGTTGTGGCGCTGCGCGAAGTCGTTGTACGTCCTCAGGCACCCGACGGCGTCGTAGTCGCTCCTGCTCCTGCCGGGGTGCAGCGTCAGGTACGCCGACGAGCACCCCATCGGCAGGTTCCCCGGCACCACCAGGTGCATCGCGCCTGCCTTGATCAGCCTCTGCGCCAATGCACACACAGCCAGCAGAGTTAGAGCTGCGCTGGTGAAACAATGGAAGAGAAGAGGATGCGGCTCTGCTCACCTCGGTTGCGTCGATGATGGCGGAGGAGACGGTGGGGACGTAGGACTTGGCGTCGTCCAGGGTCTTGCCCTTGAAGAAGGCGTAGTTGTAGTCGTTCCCCCCGATCTCCCCCACGAGGAAGAGCGACCGGCTGAAATACTTCTTGCAACCTGCTCCGATTTTAAAAAGACAAGCGGAGGAATCTTGCAATGAGCAACTGGTTGTGGAGATTGACCCCAAAATCCGACTGCTAATTGGTAAAGAAATGGCGGCGGCGACGACGAACTTTTGGGTGAGCCGCAGAGTGAAGGCTTGAGCTTGTCGAACCAGTCGAGCTGGACGCTGAGCGACAGGTTGGTCCAGAGCTTGTCCGACGCCCCGATCCCCTCGAAGAAGGGCGGATCCATGGCCGTGGCGCCGCCCACGGCGAAGTTGACGCCCTGCCGGACGTCCTCCCCGCGCGACAGGTACGGCTGCAGCAGCGGCAGCCCGAACGCTTGCGCTGCGGCCAAAAGAAACCGGATAAGATTGGCAGAAATGTCAAAATGTCGGCAATGGGTGGCAGGGCACGCACCGAGGAAGTCGACGACGAGGCGGCCGTCGGAGCAGCGGCCCGTGGGGCGGTGGAAGTAGGTCATGCCGTAGGGGAAGCGGCCGACGATGTTGAAGGAGAGCGGGCTGGACACGAGCAGGTTGCCGGTGTCGGTCAGGGAGTCGCCGAAGCTGAACATGGAGGTGTAGTTCTGCCCGCCGCCCCCGCCGCCGCATTGGGCGAGCCGCGCGAGGCAGCAGCAGGCCAGCGCGGCGACGAGCACGGAGAGCCGGGAGACCGCCATGGAACCGCGCGAGAGCCGCAGCGCCGCAAAGCAGTGGCGCGCACACACACACTCACTCACTAGCTGGCTAGCTCGACCCACGGACGTCCACTCACTCCTCAAGCCTATACAGACAGCCGGGCGACTAGGCGAGGGTCGAGACGAGAGACACCGGCACGAGGCGCTGCCGTCCGTTGCCGCAACGGGGCAGGTCCAGTAATGGTGGCTCCTTAAAGGCTCATTCACCTCTGCCGTGCTTGAGATTGTGGTTGGGCGAGTTAATGCGCGCCGAGGGCGAGGCCAAAGCGAGCCCGGAATCCATGGTGAAGGTGAAGGTGAAGGTGAAGTGCGCGGTAACTCTGCGGGCTGCCGCCGGGATCGCGCGGCCCGGTTCGTCCCCTACTGACTGACTGAGTGAATGGATAGATAATTGACGGATCACGTGTGAGCTCGGCCCCTGGCTGACACTCCCAAGGCTCAATTATTCGGACGAGGACGAGGCGGTGGCGCTCACGATGTGCTTGGGAGTACGGGGATCTTCGCTCGAGGCGCCCTGTCCCTGTTCCGCCGGTGACCACGCCTTAGATTGGCATGGCGTGCATGCACAGCAGGGTCACTTGTAGTTCATGCGGACGTGTAGTCGTGTCGTGACTCTGTAGGAGCTGTTACCATGGGATGAACTCAACCGTACGTGTAGGCAGCCCATTGGCACTCTGTTCCCTCTGAATAGTACTACTCCTAATAGTGGCATTGGCGAGTTTCAGCAGAAAGATACTGGTGCTATTCACAAGTTGGTCTTTCCCATTCACGGATCTTTTTCCGGAATCTGGAGTCGTCATTACATTCATTGATGGCTTACTGGTGTGCATTTAGAGCTCATAATTGCAATCTGATAGACATGAGGAAACCTTGATAGGGACTGGAGCATCACATGTGATCTTAGGCTGCTTGTAATAAGTAGTATCATAAGTTAGTATCATGCATATGATACTAGTGTGTGATACTACCTCCATAATGCATAGTATCATGTACTAGTATAATAGATGACTTTATTTATTGTCATGCATGACACATAGTAGCATTGCATTTATTATAATACGGTATCATGATATGATACTGAACCATCTCTTTTCTTCATTTAATGCTATGCCACATCATCAAAATTGCTTACTTGGCATGCATGATAGTTATGATACTCCCATTATGACCAGCCTTAGCGCTAAATCATGATGCAATATCATTCGGGCTGTTGGGCAAGTGAATGAACTCTGTCCTAGGCATTTCCAATGAGTTCAGTGAACTGAGAAATGCAAGTACTAGTAGGAAATGCAAGTAGTAGATTTTTCCACTGTGCTTGTGCAACTAATCCAAGTGCCAGTGAGTGGTTCACTTTTGGCTTCTGTCGCTGCTGTTACCGATGTCCTAAACCGGCCAGGAAATGTTTGGACGAATGTGCAAGATCTAAGCATCAGACAAGGCGTACGTGTTAATATAATCAATCAGGCCTACTGCCAACCTGACGTGTAAGGTTACCAAGAGAGATACTATAAACAAACGCGCTCTTATATGTGCCAGCCAAGCGATATGGCATCAAACATCAGCCGAATATGCAGCTTTACTGGCATAAAAGTCTCCGTCCCTTTTTCCCACGCTAGTAGGCCCTGGCCTTTTTTTTGCTGATGCACTGCCACGGAGGCTTGGAGCGAACCGACTTGTTGATGCATGTTTAGGAGGACATGGGTATTTTAGCCCGTGAGGGTTTAAGTTCTGGTGCTCGCATTATTTTGAATTTATTTCAAGATTATCATCAATGCAAGTTTAGTGGGAGGAGACATTTTCGTTGACTACGAGGCGTCTACCGTTGACTAAGAGACGTATATAGTGATTTCGTCAATCTCAAAATGATATGACGGCTCAGTCTCTCGGAGGCGCTCATAGGAGGTGCGTGTGTGTTTATAGAGGTGAGTATGTGTGTGTATCTATGAGCGCCTGCGTCTGCACTATGTCTAAAAAAAGCATGAGGCATAGAGCGGAAGGGAGCACTCCTTTTACGATCGCAGTTCGTCAGAAAAAGGCCAGGTCGATCGCCATGCACTGATCTCGTCTTTGTGGTCGTTGTACTGTGTTACTCTACGCTGGGTTTTTTGACGAGACTCTGTTTTTTTTTCTTATCAAATAATTTGTGGACGTGTTTGGTTGAGCGCATTGAGCACAACCAGGACCATGCGGGGAGAAATTTGACGGTTTGGTTGCATGTATTTGCATCACATGGGCTTTAAAGCACCTCCTTATCAAACCCGCTAGGAACGGCAGTTTCCAGCCAGCCAGGCTCGGGTGATGCAGGGGAAGGGAAGATGGCGCCAAGTTCATGTGACCACGAAGATGGGTCAAACTCACGCGCATCTCCGAAAAAGCGGAGGGAGGAATTGGGGTCACCTCTCGTCGCCCTATATAGCCAGCTTCACCTCATCGCTCAAACTCCTGCCATCGTCCCTCCCCTCTTTCGAGCTTTCCCTCCCACGTGGATTGACACCCATGTGCAGGTAGCAGCACTTCTTCTCCGGCTGACGGTACACGGCGGAGGTGACTCGTGTCCTCTACTTCTCCGACCCGTTCCGCGCCTCCTTCGAGCTACATCGATGGTTGTTAGTTCGATCGCCCCCATCTATGTACTCCTTCTAGCTAGATCCATGAGCATGTGGTAGGTTAGATCAGTGACCATATTGTAGCATTGTACACTGCCGGTCTCTGAAAATGTGATGTTCTAGTAGCTAGTGGTGATGGATTTGTAGCATGCTAGGGGTTGTTTCATGTCGGCAAGGATTGGTAGCTAGTTGTGATGGACTAGTATGCTTGTTGTTATGTGCTAGTGTGTTAGAACTCCATGGATTGGAAGCATGCATGTTGATGTGTGGTAGTGTGTTGAACTCCATGACTAGTAGCATGCTAGTTGATGTGTGGTACTCATATGGTGTTGTGTTGAACTTGATGGTTTGGTAGTGTGTGCTATGCTTACTGCCCATGTGTGTGCTACGATTGTAGGACATGAGCACACAAGAGTTAAGTCAGGCCATCGTCCTATCCAAGAGCCAGTTCTCGGCATCCTATGTCGAGGACTCCCAGCCTCCCAAGGACCAGATGCCTCCTTATTCAAATGTGTTTGTGGGGTCGGCTATGGCTCCTTCTTCTATGCCTACATCATTTGTGCTGGTTGTGCCAAATATTGTTGCTCTTGCTGCACAAAAGGCAGTTGTGAAGGCAAAGAAGGATAGTAGGAGAACTCCATGAAATGGTAGTTGTTCCTGTCCCCATTCATGCTTAACAAGATGTGTGAGATCATAGCCAGTGGGGTTAGGACTGACAAGGTCTTTAAGGAGGTACACTTGAACTTTGTTGCCAAGCAGGTGTTCGAGTTCTATGGCCAGGAGATCACCACCACTCAGGTCTACAACCACCTTGGGAAGTGGAGAGCTAGATGGATCCAAGTGTCCAAGCTCAGAGACCTTAGGGGCGCCTCATGTGATCAGACCACCTGCTCGATCGTTTTCGAGGAAGAGCACTACCAAGGCACACCGCGCTTAGCTCACGTACCCCTTATTTAAGCCCATCAACCATTGTCCTATCACAATGAACCTCTCTATGTTTCTTTCTTAGGACCACCCCAAGGATGTAGAATTCCTCAACACACCTATCCATAACTATACCCCGATGCAGCACATCTTCTCCTTTGGGCTGGCGACCGACAAGCATGCCATGGGCTCTGGTGAGCCGCTCGTTTAGCCCATGCCTGACTATCCATACACTCAGGAGTTAGAGGCCATCGTCCTTGATGGTCCTGATAAGGGTGGTGATCACGATCATGTGCCTGATAGGAAGAGGAAGAGGTGCGGCTTCATGGATGAAAATCTGAGCGTCTTCAACAACATGACTGAGGTCATCAAGCAGGTGGCAATCGTCATTAATTAGGGAGAGCAAGTGGGTCAACGTCCACCCTGACCTCTACCGGGCTGTCATGGACCAAGTGAAAGAAATATGCCCTAGAGGCAATAATAAAGTTATTATTTATTTCCTCATATCATGATAAATGTTTATTATTCATGCCAGAATTGTATTAACCGAAAACATAATACATGTGTGAATACATAGACAAACGTTGTGTCACTAGTATGCCTCTACTTGACTAGCTCGTTGATCAAAGATGGTTGAGTTTCCTAGCCATAGACATGAGTTGTCATTTGATTAACGAGATCACATCATTAGGAGAATGATGTGATTGACTTGACCCATTCCGTTAGCTTAGCACTTGATCATTTAAGTTTACTGCTATTGCTTTCTTCATGACTTATACATGTTCCTATGACTATGAGATTATGCGACTCCCGATTACCTGAGGAACACTTTGTGTGCTGCCAAACGTCACAACGTAACTGGGTGATTGTAAAAGTTCTCTAAAGGTGTCTCCGATGGTACTTGTTGAGTTGGCATAGATCGAGATTAGGATTTGTCACTCCGATTGTCGGAGAGGCATCTCTGGGCCCTCTCGGTGATGCACATCACTAAAGCCTTCCAAGCAATGCAACTAATGAGTTAGTTGCGGGACAGTGCATTACAGAACGAGTAAAGAGACTTGTTGGTAACGAGATTGAACTAGGTATTGAGATACCGACGATCGAATCTCGGGCAAGTAACATACCGATGACAAAGGGAACAACGTATGTTGTTATGCGGTTTGACCGATAAAGATCTTCGTAGAATATGTAGGAGCCAATATGAACATCCAGGTTCCGCTATTGGTTATTGACCAGAGACGTGTCTCGGTCATGTCTACATAGTTCTCGAACCCGTAGAGTCCGCACGCTTAAAGTTCTGTGACGATCGATATTATGAGTTTTTGTGTTTTGATGTATCGAAGGTAGTTTGGAGTCCCGGATGTGATCACGGACATGACGAGGA